AAAAAAAATGAAAATAATAGGGCATTGTCCCGCCCCCACAGAATTTTAAAGTTTGGGCGCTTCCACCCCCAAGGCTCCCCAAGCCACCAGGGGGGCTGGAGAATTCTGGGAATTGAAGTCCACACATCTTAAAGTTGCTGAGGTTGAGAAACACTGATACAGAGTACAGTATAGAGGAAATATTGTAATTGAATAGCAATAGAATAGAATATAGGATAGCGGCAATAGAAAACACTCACACATGGATCTGTATGTTTCACATTTCACTTTTGAATCTTGTTTTTTTTTTTAAATAAAACATCCCCCCAACCCTTATAGGGAGCTATGAAGAAGCCACCTGGTCCAGAGTCCATTGCTTCTGTGTCTCTCTTGAGTCTGGGTCAATCTAAGTGGGTACAGTTTTTTTTAAAAAAAAGAATCCGTGACAGATACGTACCATTTTCTACCGCTTCAAGCCAGGCTGCTACCACTTGGCGTGGGACCAAGGACGACAAAATCCCCTTGGCCATCAAGGAGGCCAGAAGGTTCAGGACAGATCTGGCAGAAGTGGGGCACTGCCCTGAGCATGAACTCCCGTCCACAACCAGAAAGATGGTGTATCTGCAGTAAAAAAGGCAGAACGCTGAGCGATCGGTACAGTGGCCACATTTTCCTGGAAAAAATAAAGGACCGACCTGGAAAAGGGGCAAATCTGAAAGAGGATAAAAAAGAATGGTTCATTTATAACTTTGCTTTACAAAGGAAAATTCCAGAGCAAAACCAAGAAAAACGTTGCCAAAACGCATCTTCTAATAAAAATATCTAATATCAAACCATGTACTTTAAAAAGACAATTCTGATTTCCGTGTTTTCCCCATGAATGGGAAAGAGGGTACCATTTGTATGGTGAAAGTTAAATGACAAAATAAAGGACATAAGTGAGTTTTTGAAAAATCCATCAGTCTAAAAGACCACTTTCTGAATTAAAGGACTGTTCTTTATAACAAAGGGCGTAGGGTCACTGTACTGTAATGACAGGTAAGAAATTGTATGTCAGCAGCCCCCGGAAAGGAAATGGTGCATTTTTTAAAGTGAATTGGACCCAGGGGGCCTCCAAAACAAAACAGGATCAACACACAAACACCAAGTTTTCAATTATCACCTGCCTTGCACTATTGGGCTTGTACAGTATTGTCCCTTGCACTAAACTGGGCCTTACAGAGAAAATAGATCCTCTTATTTCTTCCCTACCATCGATAAAGGTGATAGAAATGGCTGAGTAGCTGTGGATCAAGTTGATTAAGGTCATGTACTTCTGCTGAAACTCACCAGACAAGGGCACGCTTCTCTTTTCCGTTGCTATTTTAACCTGCCAGTTCGCCTGTTTAAATTATTTTAATTCTTAATTGAATAATTATTTTCCCCAGCCTACTGAACTTTGCATGCCAGACTCACATCTGGTGTGCTATTTGTGTGATTCTAGGTGTGGGATTGGGATCTTGCAGATCCTCACACACACACACACACAAACACACACGTATTTAATTTTCCTCCATCCGTCCCCCAAATGTCTGCCAACCGCTTTTCACCCCCTTCAGAGACGATTTCTGTAGGTTGATATGCAGTGCTTTCTCCACAGAGATGAAGTTTCATAATATTTTATAAATCCTGGAGTACCCTATAGAGCAGGGTTCCTCAACCTTGGCAACTTTAAGACGGGTGGACTTCAACTCCCAGAATTCCCCAGCCAGCAGGGCTGGCTGGGGGATTCTGGGAGTTGAAGTCCACCCTTCTGAAAGCTGCCAAGGTTGGGAAACCCTGCTTCCCAACCTTGGCAGCTTTCAGAAGGGTGGACTTCAACTCCCAGAATTCCCCAGCCAGCAGGGCTGGCTGGGGGATTCTGGGAGTTGAAGTCCACCCTTCTGAAAGCTGCCAAGGTTGGGAAACCCTGCTTCCCAACCTTGGCAGCTTTCAGAAGGGTGGACTTCAACTCCCAGAATTCCCCAGCCAGCAGGGCTGGCTGGGGGATTCTGGGAGTTGAAGTCCACCCTTCTGAAAGCTGCCAAGGTTGGGAAACCCTGCTATAGAGACTTATTTATTCATAGACACCATTGCATAGTGTTCTAAAATTACTGAGAATTATGAAATCCTGAAATAAATGTTGACATGAACTTTATCATAATTGCATCCAGCTTAAGGACATGATTTGCTCCACGTGGGTATTTCATGATCCTCTGCGTCATAACGTTAAGCCTCGAAACTGAACGAACTGGTTTCTGACATGCTTTGAGCTGGTTGAACGTTGCCAGGTTCTCGTTGTCGTTTTCTTTTTCAGGATTTTTGTGTTGCAAATAGTGGACATAATAGTTGACTTATGATATAATGGTTTGTCACCCAGAAATGTCCAGCTACAGGTCATCTGCTAATTGTAATCAATGAAAAAGAAGACACTGTGCTTGGAAGCCACAGAGCATCAGGAAATTTAAAAAGCTGGCGTTGCTACAGAAAGGCTGGGGAGGTCACTCTTGGTTCGACCGGATTGACCATTAAAGGTGGGGGAGACAATCTTTGGACCCACTGGAATTTCGAAAGGTGTTCTCTCCAAATGGTTCCAGGGGATGGGATTTGCAGGAGCACAGCCAATCTCACTCACCTGTTTAGCACAAAGCAAACTGGACTGAAGGAGCCCCCAAGGACAGCCCCAACCTTACCCTTTCCTTACCCCCCTCCTTTTCCCTTCTTCCAAATAAGCATAGCCACTACCAGCTGCCATTTAATTTACTTAGCACTCTTAAGGTATGCGTGGACCATCTTGTAAAGGACAGTGTTACTGGAGGCCGATGCTTTCTTTTGCAAGATGCCAGCATCCCATTTGTTTTTTGAATTACTGACAGACCTCGCTTAGTGACTGCCTCGTTTAGTGACCATCCGCAGTTACGACGGTGATGAAAAAGTAACTTTGTGACCAATCCTCGCATTTACAGCCTTTGCAGGTCTGTAAAGTAAAGGAAAGCCTAAGTCAGATCACAAGCCCAATCACGATTTCACATGGCGACTGTTTTGCTTAACGACTGAGTTGCCCGTCCCAATTGTGGTCACTAAACGAGCACTACCTGTAAAATGTTTCTTTGTGGCAGGCATACAGAGGGAGTTCTAGGATAAAGACTGCTATGAGAAATATGAGAATCCGTCGTACCCAATAGTCTCTGGCAAAGCTTTTCTCTGAACCCCTGTCCAGTTGCTCTGGCTCCCCAACTCTTCTTTCCCTGTGTAAGGGTAAATCCGCTCCTGGTCCTGACGGTCCCGTTGAACTCGTAGTGCTGCCCGTGTAGCGGCGACCAGGGAACGCAGGAGCTCCGGCAGGCTCTCCTGGGACAGCAGGACCACCAGGGCCAACACGGACTCTGCCGGTGGAACAGAAGATGCGCAGTCCCCACCATCCCAACCACAGGATGCCGAGTGGCAGCCTCTGTCGCAGTGTCCATCCGAGAAGCGGTCCCAACAATATCGCGCGTAGGAAGGGCTGAGGAGAAGTGGTTCTTAATGGGGGCATACTGGGCAAAAGGTGGACACATATCCCTTCTGTTCCCTCTGCTACAACCCTAGAAGGGGGCAGTGGGGACAGCAGGACAGGAGCGGGGGCAGTGGTCTGGGGCCCCCTCCGCAGAAGGAGCAGGAACAGCCCCAAATGCATCAGAAGGACCAGCTTTCTAACCGCTGGGACTACCGTTATAAGCAGGGAAGGAAACCATTCATTCCAATGTCAGAGACAGGAATAGGTAGACCATGGGGTGGGAGTGGGGGCAGGAAATATGGGCTGGCAAGAGCTGCAAGGGGTGGCACGATCGTGCTGTGTCATGGATGGACCAAGTCAGATTGCTCTCTTTTTCCCTGCTTTGTGGGGAAGGGGAATGGGCCAGATTTAGGGGTTTTCATTAACCAGCTGATTTTCCAGCAGTGATCATCAGGGGACTCATGAGGTTGCAAGCAAGAAATTTGGGGAGTGGACCTAGCCCTAAGGCCTCAAGGCCACCCCCTTGTGTTCTAAAATGGGTTAACAGCATCAGGGTCACCCAGTGCAGAATTGATTCTAGGCACACAGCACCATTAGTAGTTGTGCAATGTTTCGCCTCCTGCTATTCAATGGGAAATCCTTTCCTGCTAGCCCCTCCCGGTTCATGGCACCACCTGGGGGTAACTCACTTGCACTCCTTCTGTGGGATGCAGTCAAACCCATCATATAGGCAGTCCTCATTGTCACAAGGGGGCTGGCAGTGCCCATCCCGGAATGCCCCCTGGCACAGCTCTCGCTTCGGGCAGTTCTTCCAAGGATCGAGCAACCCCAGCGCACAGTCCCCCCCATCCCAGCTGGTCTCCGGAGAGCTGCAGACCCGGTCACAGTGGGCATCTCCTGCCAAGGGTGGGCACCTGGAGAGTACAGTGGCATTGGCAGCAGGGCAGGAAGCTGGGGAACACGGAGGCTGCTGGCAGTCTGGTCCAGAGAAGCCTTCCTTGCAGAGACATCGAGGTCCAGATGGACGAGCAATGCAAGTTCCTCCGTTGTGGCAGTATGAGGATCCACAAGGTGGTGCAGGCAGATCACAAGTGGATCCATCAAAACCCTGGGGGTGGAAGAGATCCTTTTTCAGTCTTTCTGGATTATTTTCATTCAAGATACAGGCAATAGGATGGCACTCAGCATTTTCCCACTTAGCTCTCAGGGGGACACAGGAGCAGCCTTATGCTAGATCAGATCCTTGTCCCATTCAGCCAAAGAACATCTCCTCTACCTGGCAGACCTTTCCTTCACCTTCCCAAAGCTCATACCTATGTCTGTATGAAGAGCAGTGCCATCATTCCCAATCAGCACAGATGTGGGACCACATGACTAGGAAAGAAGGGAACTGGAGACATCTGGCGTAGTATCTCATGGGAAAGAGTCCTTCCCAGTTCTGGGTGTCCAACGGCCATCAACCTTATCTTCCCAAAAGCCTTTTGTTTCACCACCCTCCTTCTATTGTTTCGCTCTTTAATTTCCATCTGGTCCTCAGTGTTAATTATCAAGAGCCAGGAAAAGCTTCATCAGCAAGCAGAATTAGCCACTGTTCATATTCCTCTGGGCAAGGAAGTGGCCAGGGTCGTTTTGCCTAGGCAAAAGGACGCTATAAAACACTCTGTGAACTACTGACCAGGTTCTCACTACATGCTGAACCTTAAACCCAGGTTAACCAAACACAATAGCTGTGTTCATATCATACATCATGCCCCAAAAATTCTGTAAATTTGTTCGGCATTCTTGCATGATGTCTTATGAGACTTTGGAATTTTAAGGGATCTCATCAATTTATTATTTCTCAGAGACTGACCGAGTCTCTTGCCTATTGGATGGGTCTCTGGGTGTAAAGTTATTAACTTCTGTGTTAAACTTTAACCTAGCCCACCATCTAACTTCTGCTCCTCAATCTCAGTTCTCTTTGCTCACCCCCATTCATACCTGTAGACAGTGGCAGGTGAATTCAAGAGGGTTCCTGAGCATCACACTACAGCTTCCCCCATTAAGGCAAGGATTTGACTGGCAACTGTCAATCACAGATTCACACAGAAGCCCTGGAGGGCAGGAAGAGATGAACAAACACAGTGTCAAAGAGTACAAAGTTCATTTTAGTTTTTGCTTCAGTTGGGTTCTTCTTTGCAATCTACCAGTGATGTCCTTCTCTTCCCCAAACTTCTGGCAAGACTGATCTTAGCATTACCTACCCCACAAGGTCAGTTTCTGATGACTTACTGATTTTCTCCTTTGACAATATAAAGCAAAACAGGGTTGGAACTGGACATGCACAGTTACTGTAGAGTCAATATCTTCCAGATAAGAAAGTATAAGAGGCAATCAAGGTCTTTGTGAGGAGGTAGGCCCTATGCAAGTTGGGAACAGCATCCCAAAATGGTCGACGCTTCAGCGGTTCGAGTCCAGCCTTCGCGTTAGCAGGGTGAGCTCCTGTTTCCTCCCCAGTTCCTGT